TTTGCAAATGAACTGAAAATGTTTTCATTAAAGGATAATCTTGCCAGCGCCAAACCAAGCGACAGCGCGAGAGGTCTGTTGGTGCCGCGGCATGACCACTCGCGTCCTTGTTTTGTATTTCGCCCAAATTTCTCTCTTACGTAAAAGTTTCTTTGTACAGACGCAATGTGTACGAACGTTAACACGGCATTCTCGACGGGTTGATCAAATCGAATGGCATACAACAGTGGATAATGTGTTACTATCTGCTGGCTCAGATTGTAAACTGATTCTATGGGACGTTGAAGCCAGTTCTGTGATTTTTGAGGTCAGCAATTAAATCTTTGCCGCGAGTCGTTATCTCGACCAGAATTTCCAGTTGCAGATTTCCGATTTCCTCTCGTCTTGTATAGCGTTTGCCCCGAATTCATCGATATTCGCCGCCACATCCAGGCAAACCCACCGGTAATTTTTGGTTTTCTAGTACGGTAAGTACTTGTCTAGTAATTTAAAATGAATGTTCTATTTCAGGGTTTGTGTCTTCGATGCCCGTAATGGTAATGCTATGAAGAGTACGGTGCTTCCACACGATGGCGGAATGCCTAGAAAGGTGCTCTTAAATTTATCTTCCGTTCGCAGGGTTCAGTGGGTTCATTGGATTTTACTACCGGGCCCCATTTCTCTTTTTTCTATGGCGTTAGTGGGTTGATGAGATGGGGTGAGGAGAATGAGTAGGTTTTTGATGGCCTCACTGAATGAGATTCTTCAAGGAGAACTTTGAACACAATTTCCTGAAGAATCAGTAAATGCCTCTAGGGCAGTGAACATGAGCTTATCTACAAGTAAAGATAGCAGTCAGGGCGAGCAGTACTTGGTGGATCTAGCGGGACGTGGTATTTTTGTCGCTGAAGGAAGGGGGTCGTATTTGGTCTGAAAGGAATTTTTTTGACATTGATTATTTATGCTTCAGGCGCGCCATTATAATCGTTGGGAGACTTCCACTGGAGCGGGGGAAGGAGTTGGAAAGGTAATGGGTTGGAAAAGGGATCGTATAAACAAAACTGGCAGAACTTTCTGCTTGTCCAAAATTCTTGAGGAAACCGGGAGAGTTTTGGGAAAACTCCATAGAAGTGGTAGGAAGATGGGAAAAGTCAGTAGGATGTTTGGCAGGATGGGTAAGGGCGGGTCGCACCAGAGGAGGAAGAGAACTGTCATTGAGGTAGGGTAGATTTGGGGAGGATCGTATGTTGTGTGAGAGTTGCAGTGACAGACGTTGTCTAGGTAGCAGTTTACACTTATATGCTGTTATATCTAGCCATGGTACAGCATGATGGGCTTGGGGCAAATCGGCGGTGATCGGCACACCCCCCCGAAACGTTTCTCGGGCTACGATCTCCAAAGTCTTTCATGTTTTTTTCAAAAGTGAATCTTGAGGGTCGGTAAGGGGAGGGCGGGACATAGCGCGGTGATGAACATGGAAAAATCAATTGTTTGTTTCCGCGTATTCATAAAGAATTTTTCGTGAAAGGCCGGTAATGCGCGCTCCCAACCTAGCTCGGAAATACGACCCATATGGGAACTCCCAACGATGTTTTACACCATATTCTCACCCTACCCTCAGTAGTTCATTTTATTTGTTGTTTTTTTTGATTCGCCGCATTGAGGGGTTGACAAGCGCTTTTGACAAGTTGTCACCATAACTCGTTTTTCTTCTCCCAGTGAAGCATGCTTGTCGAAGACCGCAAGATTGAAGATAAAGGGGAACAAAGCGAGCTGCCAAAAAAGATTAGCAGCACGTTTTCAGTTCTCTTAATGCTCTTGGACGAAGCCAAGTGCTAGCTGTGAGGAGCGAGGAATGAGAAGTAGCGGGTCAGTAAGGAATTCCATAGTTGACGATTTTCCGATGTAAATTATTCTACAACCCAGTGCAAAAACACGAACGGACTACGGCTAAGGGACGCAAAGGAACGGAGTAGACTGGGGATTGGGCGGATTCGTTGTAGTGGCAAGTGGGTCTGCATTCCATAGCGGTCCGTCTGCCAGATCTCGGATCGATTCCATCCCGCCAAGCAAACCCTTCTATCCCCCTGGGTCCGTTGAATGGTAGCAAATTTGTCTGAGAAAACAAAAACAGTGACTTGTAAATAGGCTGGCATTGCAGTTTATTGTGTAGACATCCCAAAATGCCGCTACGATTCTAAATTAAAGCGGAATGCCATGGTGTATGTCGAAGAGGGACACTCGACGCCGAAAATTTCATCCCTGGAGCTTCGTGGTGTGCTAGCCGAGGTAGAAAGAAAGAATGATAGTTAAAAGTACATGATGAGGAGCAATGAGGAAGGCTTCCACTCATGAAGTGCATTATCAGAGTGTTCCTCGGATAGGGTGGTAGTGTTGATGAGAGACCCTTCACAGAATGAGTCTAACAATAAGATACTCTTCGATACTAAACGTATTTAGTACTAATTATTATTAGTATTCGGTACTAAACGTATGTAAAACGTATTTGTCCACGCTATATTCAGTTATCCCGTTACCCCGTGCCGCCCCCTTGCTGGTAAAATTTTTAACTACGGTAGCGCCCTGGCTATACACGACATCCTGCATCTACACTGGCTCCTGAGACCTCGCAGTCTAGCCAACTAGGCCTTTCATCACTCCAGGTTCACTGAATTGTCGTGGAGGGGAAAAGTGCTGTCTTGACAAAGACAGGCTTGCAGGAATTTGTGACCAGATTTGCGTCCGTATTAGGTTGTGCTCATACCTTGCGGTCCTGGCTTCTCAGGAGAATCAGCATTTTGAGCGAATCGGCGTTCTGGGAGAACCAGCGTTTCGTGCAAAAAGGAAAAAAAGAAGAGTAAAATTTTGATCTGGCGTTCTCGAAGAATCGGCTTTTCGGAGAGTCAGCGTTTGGAGCGCATCAGCGTTTTGAGCGAATGGGCGTCTTGAGCGCCGATCGATACCTATAGTTTTCGCTCAAAATGCCACTGCGCACGAATGCTGACACTTGAAGTCACAAAGTATGAACGCGCCCTAATAGCGCCATGAAAGTTGAAGTATCTCAGAGAGGTTGCTTCACACTGATTTTCTTCATCATTTCTTTGGGGATGGAAGGAGTGAGGATCTCTCGTTGTTCACTCTAATTTTGTCCATATTAGGTGATATTCGCTACTGCACAACGTCTTATAACGTTCGGTAATACGAAAATCAATCGGCGGCAATTCTCGATATATTCGATTTCGTCTTTCGATTCACCACTTGCCACAATAGATATAGACGGCTCGTCGGGTTTGCTGTGTCCAATTTTCGATCCGGATCTCAATATTCTTTATGTATCTGGAAAGGTGCGTTTCTATCGGATTGCATTAATTTTTCTTTTGAAATCTTATTTTTAAAAATATTACAGGGCGATTCTACATTCCGTTTATATGAACTGATTGCACGCTCTCCATATGTGATATATTTAAGTGAATGTCAGCAACAGGCGCCACACACGTGTATTTGTACAATATCGAAACGAGCTCTTAATTTAACCGGTGCAGAAGTGATGCGGGTGTACAGGTACGATGGACTTAAAGGCACAGTACACGCTGATCTTGTGGGCGGGGTCAGGCCTATCATTGCGTTTCCCTTATTAGCGTGTGCACCTCTGCACCGTGTTAGAAAGGAAGTGTACACCAATAAGGAAGGCTCAGTGGCAGGTCTGACTCCGCCTATACAATCAGCTTGGACTGCAGATCGAAGTAAGTTGGGGCGTTTTCTTTGAAAATTTGGAGTAGCTCACATTAGTACGGCCGAGCGCGGCGTAACTATTTGCCCCATTCGCAGGTACAGGTCGATAAATTATTTCACAGCAATACTGTTTCTTTAGGTTGTATCCGCAATCGTTGCTTATTCAACCGCTTTCGTTCATTGTTCCAAAACGAGTAAGTTATTGACATTTTCCCCATTTCTCTCTTGAAGTCAGAGTCCGCGATTACCCGGAAGACGGACAAGACCCTCATAATTTATCGCGTCGTCGCGCGCGGCTTATCGTGCGGTCATGAGGGCAGTTTTTTTGTCTGCCAAACCGCGCTCATACGGAGGATATCGGGTTTCCCCATTCTTCTGGAACACATATTCAAACGGTCAAGCAGGACACCTCGTCCGTCTGGGGTGCAGCGTCGTTCGCCACGCCCAAAGCGTGGCATATTACCGACATTGTCTTGTTATACTGCCCGCCCGTTCCATGGTGAAGAGGTAAGACGAATGACATAAAAGTAATGAAAAGAAGAAAAACAAGATAGCTGTGATTAATAAAGGAGTTACTAAGAAGAGAAAGTTTAATAAGACATTCGGAAGGAGATAAATTCACTAAACTTTACTTAAAAAAATTTTGGAATTGAGTTGAGTTCACCGTCTCAAAACGCATATAGGTGTGCACATTATTGCAAAGGGCCGGTTCGACTTGTTGGGGATCGCTTGCTAGGTGCACTTACTGCCACCACGCGAAACTGGGACTTTGAAAGCTAAATCCCTTCGCGAAGCACTGAAACATGGCCTATAACAGATTGCAGGCGCAGTTTGGCTTGGTAGGGGCAATACTGCATTTTCAGGATCTATAGTGCCTGTTACTAATGTGGCTCACGTACCAGTTTCGCGATTTCACAGGAATTTACATTTGTCACTAAAGTGATATATCCTACTATATATAGATCCGCCTAGTGTGGTGACTGTTTGGTGTGGTGGTGTGTATGTGTGAATGTTTGTCATATATGTTGTGTTTGATCGAAATTCATAACTTCGCCTTCAAAGAGCGATTGAGGCGCTCAAACACTGGTAAGTGATGTAGGGGAACAGGCTTAGCTTTAACGAAAGTACTGCGATGTGAGGATAAGATTTGCACTGATGATGTCCATGGTTATTACGCATGCGAAACTCTTTCTAAAACCGCTAAGGGGCTGTCTAATTTCCAACAAATGGTGAATGTTTTTTTAAAAGAAGGTGAATTAAGGCACCAACTTACAAAATGTTCATTAAAACGCGACAAATAATAATGAAATGGGTCTATCTTAAAATAATAACGAAACGGCCTGCGTAGCCAAGTGTTTTGGGGTCAGTAGCAGACCTGTCGGCGATCAGTTACCTATTGATGAAATACATAGATTCAACCATGCGCGCAGTAGTACGCGTTAGCCAAGCTGGTAAATTAAAGGCAATTCCCGCGACCACACTTCATAGGTAATACAGTTCAAAAATAGAATTGCCCTGTGGTTGTTGACTTATTGAAGGGAAGGAACCACGAAAAACGCCCGCAATAAGACCCTCTTTATTTCAATTGATCATGATCACCGGACGAGCGTAAGGTGGTCAAGATCGATTGTGGATGGCAAAAGGCGGCGAGACACTGATAAGAGACGAGAGAGGCCAGAAAACGACGAGCGAGAGAGCACAATGGCAATGTCACACAACGACACGATCACCGGAGGCCGGCATGGGCCTATCGGGCGCCAATGGGCCTAAAACATGAGCGCCGTGCGTTCTGCTTGCTGTTTTTCAACTTTTAAAAGCAGCATAGCCTCTGACGTTGCTTGCTTGACCGTCGTGCACGATTATGAGAACCTAGCCTTAATTTTTCGCGGAACGTGCCTTTAATAAAGCGGAGCAATAAAGAACTAGCGAACATGCAAAACGCTTCTCCCAAGCCGAACAGCGCTCCATACTGCATATAGTACGGCAAAACTACTGAGCCTCTCTTATCAGGAGCGACAAACGGATGGTGTTCATTGGCATCTCATTCGGTGCGTAGCGAGTTTTTTCATAGCGACTTCTTTTGTATCGTACCATCTTCGGAATGCCCATCGTGCCACTCATACTCTCTGCTTCCTCATACGAATTATTGTGAGTTCATTCCTTACATATTTTTAAGGAATTTGTTCGATTGAGAATCATATTTATTCAGCCATGCATCATTTGTCTCATGCTGGTGTTACAATGCCGTTCCATGACTCCCGAGTTGATCGCGCCGGCGGTATGTTTCTATCTGAGAACTTACCTTTAAATTCTACGGCCCTCCCACTTTGGGTTATTCTCCACCGCTAAGCCTCTGAGCGCGTGTTTCGCTGCGGAACTTTCGAGCCTGAGCGAATCTACGAAGAGGAACATAGTCACGGCTGTTCAGGTCTAGAAGTCGGCCCACGCGACAACTGGCTAGCACTGTCCAACTGGTTGACCCAGCACTTTCAGATCAAAAAGGTTAATGATAATTTCTTGCAATGGATGGCGCTTCACTCCCCGTCAGCGTGAAGTTCGAGTCCCGCCTAGGGGTTCTAAACTTTTTGCCCAAGAGCCCAACATTCTCTTTTGTAAAAATTCCCCAGTCGTTGATCATTCCTCTTTTTGCGATGCGCATACTACTCCCATTCGGGATTGAAGTGGTTCTCTGAGGCTATAAAGCGCATTAAAACCAACTCTCCACTCACCTTCGCGGATCCTGGTCTTTGCGGTGGTGACGGGGGTAGGGGCGGGAGCGGCGGGGAGGATTGGGGTAGGGAACGAGTCCACAGCTGCAACGGCATGCCATTTCCTTCTACTAAAGCGCAGAGAATAGGGCTGTAGGATTATGATACCCGGGTGCG